TTTGTAATCCCTTGTGCAGATAAAATCATAAAAATTTGTTAATTTTAACATTATTTGTTAATAAGTGTTTCGATACTAACAAAATAATCTGTATAGCACTGAAAACTATTTTTGAAGACCGCTAATTCAGTACTTGACATCAAACTGCAGTATTGCTAATACCAAAAATTGCTATCTCTCCCTCTCCCAGTCATTCCAACTCACCCAAAGTGAACTAAATTCTAATAAACTGAATATGAAAGATTATGATAATCAAAAATTTTGATAATGTCGAACTACTATTCAACATAAGTGAAAATTTTTTATATGTGAATAATATTTTTATTTTTAATACACATTATTATTATTAAGAATGAAAAAATGATGAATGACTTCCAGATTAAAGCGTATGGCTTTAAACTTCTGACTAATAGGAAAAATACGAATTCTTATAGTATAAATATTAGAATTCGTATTTTCAGGTCAAACATAAAAACTTTTATATATTGTATTTCATAAATTTGCATTAATTTTTAAGAGAATTTTTTTTAGTTTACCTAAATATTGATATTAAACTGGTTCGTACATAAATTTTATTTTATTTATAGCTGTTGTTTATGCGTCTATTCTAAAAATAGCATAGGAAATGCAGTTCTTGTTTGCGAATAAACAACGAAAAATCAAGAACTCTAAAAACGCAAAATAAGTATACATTGCCTTTGTGTGTCAAGACGAGAAAGCCTATGGTTCAAAATCAACAAGACTAATTTCCAGACATTGAAATCAGTCCAGAAATTTATGAAGATTTAATTAAACCAATAGATATTTCTAAACACTACTAATGACGATTTTAAAAACAGCTAATTAAAGAATTCGCTTGAATAAATATTAAATTTTGAATTTAAAAATTTATTCACTATTAGTCTTTTACTATAGAATTCTCAACATAGAACACAAAAATTTAAAATTATTAAAATTATTATTTTATATTAATTTTATCTAGTAAATAATTAAGCATCAAAACTGGCCATTATATTACAAAGTTTATTTATTTATTTAATAATCATTTAATTATTTTAGCAGTGTTTAATGTCTTTATATTATTATTTAATAGATATTAATCGGTAGCCAATATAATTACCAAAAGTATTTGTTTA